TGGCTGTCATTTCTCTCACCTTTCTTGAATCTGGGACAGCAGCTGGAGGCACTGAGACTGTACTCGTAGGAACTGTCAAAAAGAGTTATCAAAATGTTCAACTTTGGGTGAGAAATGACAAGATTTTACATTTTTCTAAAACAGTTCAAGTACTAACAATTTAATTAAATAATCAGTCATACAGAGGTAATTTTTGGTAGCTACAATGTGTTGTCATTTTAATGTATCAGCACATTAAGCCAGGAAAGTTGATAGTAACAGGCAATGGCTGTGCACACAAAAAATGATGCTGTGAATAAAATGGTAACAATCCTAGAAAAATGAATGTGAGACTCCCATCATCTGGGGGAGGAGAGGTGAGGAGCATCAAAAAAGACTGAAAATGTGGATTCATTACACACAGAGTGTTACATTTCAAATGTCTATCTGTGTTTTGTATTGTTTTTTATGATTATGACAGCCATTGAGCCCATTGCAAGGATGCAAACCACTAAATATTAAGATTAAAGAAGCTGGCTGATCACAGACTGCTGTATTGATGGAAGCTTAAATGGAAGGAAAAACTGTGGGAGAAAAAGCTTCACTATTCACATTGATAACCACAGTCTTGAGAGGATTATGAAGCAAAATCCATTCAAACAGACTGAGCGTCAAGGGTGATCACGTACCTTTTATCCCAAACATGAGCTCCAGCAATCCCAGTCCTTGTGTTAAGAAACTCCAGTCATAGGATGCAAGCAGACTGAACAAAATTTTGCTTTTGACTTTTACAAAACCAGATTCCCAGAGTCTTGATGAAGATTAAGGCCCTGAATAAACCTTTCTTAAGGTCCAATGTGAAGTTTCCACAGTCAGTGATGATTTGAGGATCATGTCATCTGCTGGTGTTGATTCATTGTGTTTTCTCAACTCCAAAGTCTAAATTGGCAACAAACATGATTAGATCTCTTCATGAGATGCTAATTCGTTTTTGTGGCAGGATTTTGCACTTCCCCACACCACCAAATTTACTAATACCATCTATGTCAGTAAGCCATGGTCAATAAACTATCCAGGTCAAATGAGTCAGTGCCTCATAGTGTACAATACATTGAGATGCCATTATTAGTTGTCTGATATTTCTCTATTTAATATCTCCTTCTCGTTGTATTTATGCAATATTCATACAGTTAGGGCCAGAAATATTTGGACAGTAACACAATTTTCGTGAGTTGGCTCTGCATGCCACCGCATTGGATTTGAATGAAACCGCTACAACAGAATTCAAGTGCAGATTGTAACGTTTAATTTAAAGGGTTGAACAAAAAATCTGATAGAAAATGTAGGAATTGTACACATTTGTTTACAAACACTCCACATTTTAGGAGCTCAAAAGTAATTGGACATATATACATAACCCAAACAAAAAAGTTTTTTCTCAATATTTTGTTGCGAATCCTTTGGAGGCAATCACTGCCTTAAGTCTGGAACCCATGGACATCACCAAACGCTGGGTTCCTCCTTCTTAATGCTTTGCCAGGCCTTTACAGCCGCAGCCTTCAGGTCTTGCTTGTTAGTGGGTCTTTCCGTCTGAAGTCTGGATTTGAGCAAGTGAAATGCATGCTCAATTGGGTTAAGATCTGGTGATTGACTTGGCCATTGCAGAATATTCCACCTTTTTGCTCTCATGAACTCCTGGGTAGCTTTGGCTGTATGCTTGGGGTCATTATCCATCTGTACTGTGAAGCGCCGTCCGATCAACTTTGCAGCATTTGGCTGAATCTGGGCTGACAGTATATCCCGGTACACTTCAGAATTCATCCGGCTACTCTTGTCTGCTGTTATGTCATCAATAAACACAAGTGACCCAGTGCCATTGAAAGCCATGCATGCCCATGCCATCACGTTTCCTCCACCATGTTTTACAGAGGATGTGGTGTGCCTTGGATCATGTGCCGTTCCCTTTCTTCTCCAAACTTTTTCTTCCCATCATTCTGGTACAGGTTGATCTTTGTCTCATCTGTCCATAGAATACTTTTCCAGAACTGGGCTGGCTTCTTGAGGTGATTTTGGGCAAATTTAACTCTGGCCTGTCTATTTTTGGAATTGATGAATGGTTTGCATCTACATGTGAACCCTTTGTATTTGCTTTCATGGAGTCTTCTCTTTACTGTTGACTTAGAGACAGATACACCTACTTCCCTGAGAGTGTTCTGGACCTCAGTTGATGTTGTGAACAGGTTCTTCTTCACCAAAGAAAGTATGCGGCGATCATCCACCACTGTTGTCTTCAGTGGACGCCCAGGCCTTTTTGAGTTCCCAAGCTCACCAGTCAATTCCTTTTTCCTCAGAATGTACCAGACTGTTGATTTTGCTACTCCAAGCATGTCTGCTATCTCTGTGATGGTTTTTTTCCTTTTTTTTCAGCCTCAGGATGTTCTGCTTCACCTCAATTGAGAGCTCCTTTGACCGCATGTTGTCTGGTCACAGCAACAGCTTCCAAATGCAAAACCACACACCTGGAAACAACCCCAGACCTTTTAACTACTTACTTGATTACAGGTTAACGAGGGAAAGGCCTTTTGAGTTACTTGCAGCCTTTAGAGTCCATTGTCCAATTACTTTTGGTCCCTTGAAAAAGAGGAGGCTCTGCATTACAGAGCTATGATTCCTAAACCCTTTCTCCGATTTGGATGTGGAAACTCTCATATTGCAGCTGGGAGTGTGCACTTTCAGCCCATACTATATATAAATTGTATTTCTGAACATATTTTTTGTCAACAGCTAAAATAACAAAACCTGTGTCACTGTCCAAATATTTCTGGCCCTAACTGTAAGTCTTCAGAAAATAATTTTATTTAAATTACCCGAAAAAAGGTGTGAAATTAAAAAACTCAGTGAATTATGAATCTATATGAATACAATTTTCACTCTTTCATTTGGTAAGATGCATCCCCATCTCACTTAATTTGAGATTTGTTTAGCTCTTTAAAAGTATGCTTGTTTTGAGTGAAACAAACACTTCAGGTCTGTTTCAGTAAAGTGGCACACAGCCTCAGGCAGAACCCGAACTCTGGCTATGGAGCTCTGTGAACCTGGAAGGGAGGGACTTACTTACCTGTTAATGAGACCACGGATGGTAGGTTTGCAGAAACATTTTCCCTTGGGGTGAATGAGGGTCACGGCAAGTTCCTTCAAAGTTGTGGAGTTGCAGGAAAAGAGCCCAGCAGATTGCCAGACCTCAGCATTAAGAGATGCAGTGTTTTGTTTGTTGTGGAACTCTGAACCAGCTTTTTTATCTTTGTGAGGCTGTTTGGAGGAGGCGACCTTGGCTAACACCTGTACAGTCTGGAGAAACAGATGGGACTGAATTGAGGGGATGTGTTATTATGTTGGTGCAGTGTGTACTGATTTGGAGCCATACCCAATTTAAATGATTGTCACTGTGTCACATGCTAACATAAATTAATCTTTACAAACAGTCAGTTCATGTTCAAAAGTTGATCTAGAATGATGAATCCACTGCCTTTCTGTTGCCCAGTTTCTGTTATGTACTAAACTAAAAATCAGAAGGTTTCTGTATGTTTCTCAGGTTTTAGAATGCATTTAGAATCAACAAGAAAAATGAACAATTATGCTGAATAATTCAATTAGAATCAACAATAACTGCAAAAGATGGAATAAAGAATCTAATTAATTAATGATCAACGAATTACTCACTAAAGATTAATTAAAAGAAAAGATGAATAATCAGGAATTCACGTCACACTGCAACACCTGAGGAGCCCAGAGGAAATTTCTCAAGCAGGCCGGCTTTGGGCTAAAAGTCCAGTTTGTTTAATTGTGAATCTTCTTAAACAACACTGCTAGATTCAGAATTTTTCTTTATAAACAGTTTGTCTGTCTGCAAATTCAACAACTAACACTGAGAAGCTGGAAACTCTTTCTTTCCTGTCCTACATTTCTAACAGTGTCATCATGCTTCTTCAGATCACCCGGTAGACAATCTTCTGGAATTTTGCTTTTGGTCTGGTGAGGGTGCCGTCAGTGATGAGTTTAGACTTTGCACATGAAAAGGCACAGTAAACAGAATATATTTGGTATATTGCAAGACACAATGACAGAAACAGATGGAGCGGGGGCAAACCACCGGTTCAAGGACACAGTCTTACCACCAACGCCTTGAACAGAATCTGTGCTTTTTGTATTTCAAAAAGTTCAATAGTGAATTTTAGCAAAGGTCATTGCAGAAATCCCCAGAAGAAGCAGAACGTTTTGATATATGAATTAGCACAATTAGTTGAAGGTAGTAGAAGTAGTTGAATGTAGTAAAAAGTACGGAACATTGTATAATAATAATAACAAAGAGAAACAGAAACTCTATATGATGCATTCTCACTGATAATACCTCATCCCTAAATTAAGAAATTACCACCTGATTAAATGGAGAAATTTGATTTGGGAAGATGGTCAGGGCTACTTTGTTTAATTTAAAAGATAGATGTTAGCTACAATAAGGATGTATTTTCATTGGATTTGCATAATCTTTTATGTGAATCCTATTCCACATTTAATTGGATCATAACTCAATTGATATTATTCTGAATTTATTTTAGATGTGTGTGTTTGAGATTTCATAATTAACTAAATGTGATTTTAGATTGTTTTTTTTAACACGTATTCATTTGGTAATTAACAAAGCAAGTTGATCAATTTTAGTATTACGGTATATGTTGGTAACTACCTCTGCTATTTCCTAATTGCACATGTGATTCAATTTCCTCAAGTCTCTAGACTGAAAATGTATTTGTAATTTTAAAATTGTTGTTCTCCTGTATGATTGTTGATTGTACTTTGTATTGCATTTGAACAATAAACAGGAGAAATGTTCATGAAGTCAGATGTCAAATAAATGGTGCGTCATTTACAATACAATTATATTTTTTAAGTTAAGTTGGTCACCTACTTGAGCTGTTTCTTTGATATTAGTAACCACATTTTGTGCTGTACTTCTCCTCCAGGAACGAAGGCTCTGCGCTCACCCTTTCCTCGAGCTCTACAGAGATGGTGAGATCCAGTTCATCGTCCCCCTGGCTCGGCAGGGGGATTTTTATGTTCCGGAGGTACGACAGGCAGAGAGGAGGCTGTCAGAACAAGAGGAATTTCACAGTGATACTGACATCTCAGGTACACTATCCTTTTTATGTTGTGCTAAACTGGCACAAACATCTGTTTGTATTTTGGTTGAATTTCTTTATAAGTGTCAAAAACATCATATGGCTTGAAACTTTTTACATGAGTGAAGATTTGGTATGGCAGGAGTAATTGCATATTTAACTTTTTTATTTTGTCTAATTACAACCACAGTCTTTGTGTTTTTTAGTAGGATTTGTATAATAGGCTAACACAAAGTAGCTTATAATTGTGAAGGTAAAAAAATTTACATGGCTTAGATTTATTTTGCTCTTCCATTTGTTAAGCTGCCTACACTCTGATTCCCCTGAGAAATTTTTAAAAAATTACCTAATTTGTGAAGAATCATGTCTTTATTGAAAAGAGGCAGGACAAAAGCTATTGTTGAACGAAAGTCTTATGTAGTTCCATTTGCAGTTTGCCACAAAACCTGTAGGGGGCAGAATAAAGACCCTTGTCAAATGAGATGAGAACTGAGCTTCTGTTATCAAAGAATGAGAGTCTGTTCCAATGACTAGAGGAATATTAAAATAATCTCATTCGAAGACCCATCTCCCTGAGCACAGTCTGTAGAAGAGCCCCGAACAACACAGATCACATGACTACATAGTCACAGCAAAAAAGAACACACCCCAAGTCTGAACTTATCTCCATTACCACATCTTTATCCACTGTCATGCAACTGTCCCTCACCTCATTGGAGGGAACGATTTTTAGTTAAGACTTTTCGTTGGAAACCCACACCCTCCATGTACGGCAGGAATTGAGAGCTGACAAGGCTTCCAACAGAAACGTCTAGTTCTTCTCCATAGTTGCAGGCTCTCTCACACTTACAGAGTGACAAACATTAAAGAAAAACATTCATATACACAAAACACTATCAATCCTCATTTAGATGAGGTTAAACTGAAATAGTCTTCTTTGGAATCATGCTCAATTTTGTGTCGGTGTATCACATGAAATCCCCATAAAAATGTTAGCTTGTTGCTGTAACATGACAAAAAATGAAATATTATATAATAAATATTATGTCTCATCTTTTACTGACCATAAAGTCCTTATTCACACATAATACATGAATAGGAAAGGAAGGCTACACATCAAATTTTACTGGTGTTTTTCCAAAACACCCCTTTCCTCCATTGTTCAACTAAGAATTGCTTCAGTTCAGCAACTGACCACAACAACAGTATTTATGAGCTCTGTGATCTTACTGCATCCTGATGCAGCACAGCACTGTGCTAAAGTCTGTTTACATATCTTCCTACTCACGAAGGAAATATCTTGCTTCGGTATGTTTTCATGCTCAACAGGGAAAATGAAGCAAAACAGCCAATATGATAAATGCAAATCAGGTGATCTTTAAAAGCTACACAAAAATGAAGAGAAGAGATATTTTCTACGAAAGCCGGCTTGATCTGCCATCTGTCCTGACAGGTTCCTTGATGTTGTGACCTGAATTGAACCTTGTATCGAATGCTATTTTGTTTATGGGCAGCTCTGTAGAAGTAAACTGTTACTGACACCTTCTTAGGTGTTAATGAAAAGCCCAAATACAACAGTCTTCGTTGGCGCTCTGCTGCCACTCACCAAGAGGGTGACTGCAGCTTTAAGGACACCACCTGGGAAACTTGCTTTCAGAGAGAATACAGAGCATTCAAACATAAATGATAGTAATGAGATACGAAAAGCTACCAGAGAGCAAAGTTAGATGTCAGGAAATTAAACTAGCAGTTTAAAATAATATGTCGGGTTTACAGGCCTCTAATTAGAGGTAAGTAGTTGGACTTGCAAATGTCTACAGGGTTGGGCCGGTTTGGATTTTTTTAGGCCAGATCCAAACTCTGTTTTGTCGCCACTAACACCGAACTGTGGGTTATTTATCGGCAAGGAGCTTTCACAATTTGACGTTTTACTCCAGAGGTATCCAGTCATGGTACAAAGCGGTGATGAACTGAGTTCCTCAGAAACTGTATGTATATCTACTCACTCCTTTGGCTTCTTGCTCTCTAAATTGGTAAAGAAAATTGCAAGCTTTATGCAGTAGCTGTTGCAATAAATGGAAAACCTTTGCCTTTGTAAGTTGAAAGGAATTTGGACTTCAGAACATGGACACATTTTAAAACTTATCATTGGCTGCTAATCAAATTATATCCTGAAGACAGCAGCTTGACAACTCAAAATGGAACAAGTGATACATATGAAGAAACATTTATTTCAAGGGTATGAATATAATTTTACAAAAGTCTGAATAATTGGTCAAGTTTTTTTTCACTTTTTGCTGAATTGTCGCCAGTATTTTGCTCAGACTTGTTTGTTTTTAGCAGTCTAATAATAAGACTTTCTTGAATATGTTATTTTAAACTGTAACTCAATAAAAATGTCAGATTTTTTAATCATTTCCCACCCTTGTGACATCTTAGCTAAAGCCCACTTGTCAATTAGATATTCAAATTGAGTCTTTCATTCGGATGTCTATTCTATATTGAATAATTTTGGCACCTTTTTGCAATTTTATCACACTCAATAAGATACTTTTCTTTACTTGCAAGATGACATCTCAGTTTTGTTAAAACTTGAAAATAATAAAAATCAAATAAAGAAAATACTACTGAATTTTAAAACATACTTTGTAATATTTTCTTTCTTTTTCTAACTACCCAAATTTACATCAATTTCCGTTTGAATTTCACTCAGTCTTAACAGAAAGCCAGACCCTGAAAGTTCCCCTGTGAATCTTCTCCATTTTTCGCCAAAGCAAACAAGAGCACTGCTGACAAATCCTGCTCCTCGTGTGTCACGGCCACAGTGCAGAGTGGAAGTGACATTCAGGTCCATGCTTCTGAATGATAATGTGACAGATAGTTGTGCCCCTGTCACACTGGGATCTTTTCAGCCAGAGTGAGCCAGCGGAGCATTCAGGCCACTGGAAGCTTCTTCGGTCTATTGACACCCCGCTCCACACGCACTTGCACTCGACCACCCGCCACTGCCACAACCCCCCCAAACACTCGATACCAATCCTGTCTCGGTGACCTTATCAACCCCCAGCCTCTGCACACATGGCTCCTCATACTGCCTGGCAGCATTCTAACAATTATCCTGTCAGTCCTCGGCATACTTCACTCAGCTGTAAAAGTGGTTTTGCATTTTGTATAGTGGTAGTTCTTTGTAAACATGTTGCATTTGCTGCATTGGCTTGCTGTTTTAAGACTTTTGAGAACAGTTTCACATCAAGCATCAGGTAATATTAAAGGAATAACTCACAGATCAAGTCCAGCAGGATATGTATCTAATTTTCAGTAGAACTCGGTTGTGTTTTCTTGTTTATGAACTTATTTTGGTTCAGCACATCTCAACTTCACTTCTGTCTAGCATCTTGTGCACAGTAACTTAATAAAATTTATCAAAAAAAGCAGCAAACAAATATCAATAAAAGGTTCAATAAAAGCAAAGAAGTAAATGTAAACAAATGGACTTTCTCCAACAAATTTATTGCATACAACTTATTTGTAATTTGCCTTTTGCTTTCACATCTGCTTTAATTTTGAATGCCATACATTTTACAAGGTGTTGGGAAGAGCCCTCAGAGATATTACCCCATACATCACACAGATGCTGTAGATTCCTGCATATTCAATATTTAAAACTCTTGTTCCTCCAAATCCCAAATGATACCAGTTGGATCTGCTACACCCTTTTGCGATTTTCAAGAAGCATGGATGAGACAATTTAAGTTTTATGACATGGTGCAGGATCTTCCTATGAAACTCTGCCAGAAGACAGGCGCACTCTGGTCACAAAGTGATGTATGAGTTTAGCATCAATGCACATGCATGCTGCAGTGCTTAAGCAATGCTCAAGCACTTAGCAAAGTATGCCAAAAAAAATCATCCTCCGCACCATTACATCACCAGCCTGAACTGCTGATGCAAGGCAGGATGGATCCATGCTTTCATGTTGTTTACCTCAAATTCTGACTTAAGCATCTGAATGTTGTTTCTAAGATAGAGACTCACCAAACCAGCCATCATTTTCCCAGATTGTCATAGTTGAATTTTGGTGAGCCTGTCACTCTTGTAGCCTTAGTTTTCAGGTTTTCCTTGACATGAGTTGGACTGAGTGTAGTAATCTGCTTCCGTAGTAGATTACTATCCCTCGCCGTCATTCTGCCCATTTCTGCTCATTCTCCTCTCACCTCTGAAACAACTGGATTCACTGAATTTTATTTTATTTTTCAGTTTGTTATCCCTAAATGCAGGAGAAGGTTGTGTACTAAAATTATTTGTAGGTCATAAAAATACACAAGTGTCAAACTGATTGGAGAATGTTTAACTCTTACTATCAAATATTCACTCATACAAAAACGCTGCTCTGTCTCTAAGATACTATGGCATTTTGTGCCTACCTTTCTCCTTTTAGTTTCCATACACAAAGTATTTGACTGTTTTGTACTGAAGTATGGAGAATCAAATGATTTATCTTAGAAATTAGACAGTTTGATTCATTCTGGAGATAAATGTTCAGATAAATGAATTCCTACTCAGTCCTGAAAAGTCTGGAAATTGTTTTATTCATTTCCCAGGTATGTAAATATGAAAATGAATGGAAAATATATAGGTTTACAGTGTTTATGTAGTTAATTAAATGTGAAACATTTCAACTTGAATTTTTGTGTGACTTAAATATCAGTGTTGTTTTACGGGATCCATCTAAATTCCATTAATATTGTTGGTACACTTTTTCTTTCTCCTAAATTGATTATTCTTTTTGTTTTGCTTAGTAATTTAGGAAGTAATCACATTTCTTTCAAAAAGTGAAAAAATAATGAATTTGGGTAGGAAAAACACAAACTGAAAAAGAGCCGGAGGTATTGTATAGTTATTGAATGAGATAACACACAAGACGTCCCATTGAAATGTTTAAATAGATCACCTTATCTGTTTATTGGCACCTTTATGTTCTTAGATTTGTTTTGGGTTGGACTTGTGGTTTTGAAACGGGATCTGGTTTAGGAGTTAAACTGAAATTAATATTTATTTTTTCTTTTCAAATAAATCTATTGGAAAATAAAGAAACTGTTCCTGAAATAATCTTTATTTCTTTGTGCTCAGCTGTTCTGAAAAATAACTAAAATTTCAATCTGGAAAAATATGGATGTTTTAAATTGGAAAATAAGGGAACCTTCTGTTAATCTAACTCTCTGTCATTCCTTAGGCTTTGACCTTTTTCCAACGATTTTCACAAGTTGTCTGTGCAAACAGACAACTTGCGAAATATGATTTTGGATTCTGAATGGGTTTGAGGGATCTCTTGCTGTTAGATGATTAAATTGAGCTCACATAACCAAATTTTGTTACAGTAGGAGATTATTAGGTTGTACAAAATTACATGCAGAAGAAGTGAAATGATCAGAACCTCCTAAGTTTCTCAAGTTTTGGATAGATAAATTGCCATAACTATTAAAAACAACTGCAGTCAGAGATGAACCTTTTTCAGCTTTGATAGGACAATAAGATTAAATTAGGAATACGATTATGAAAATAGTATGAATAAGATATAAAACACTCATGGTTGAATCTGATAATGCATTAGATTTTTAGATGACTATTCTTATATCTTCTTTTTTGCTCTCCACACAGCCTTTTCACTATACTTCAGAATATAAATCTTCATTTTTATGACCTGACTGCCCTTCCCAGTTACCAACTTAGCAACTTCTGTGTTGTAGTTTTTTGTAAGCATCTGCCATCAAATCCTGCAGCTATTTTAATAAATTTTAGATACTTTCTGCTAAAGAAACTTGATAGACCCGTCTCTCCTGCACAACATTTTACTCTTTTTTTTTTTTTTTTTTTTTTGTTTTTGACACTTCAGCTTCTGTCCTGTACCTTCGGCTGACCAAACAACAGCAGGGAGCTGCATATGTGAATCTCACTGATGCAACCATGTCCATACAACCAAAATCAAAGCAGAGTCATTGTTTATCATGCTTACTTTACTTTACTAGCTGCTTTGAAAGATCTGTGGCCGTTGGTGCTCAGCTTCTACATAACCTGTTTATTGTGTACATCCAATTCTATTTAAGATAAAGAAACATTGTAGAGAACTCGGTAATGTAAGAAATCTATGCTAAAAGTTGCAGAGAAAGGTATTTAGTAGGTTCTGGTGCTTTGCAGAATGTTCGTATTACTCAATAGTCTTGCATTTTACAGCTGCCGACTTCTATGTGCCTGTCAGACTGGACCATTGTAACAACAATCTCAATCTAAAGCAATCTAAACAAGGTCTTAGTTTAGGGTTTGATACTGATGGAAGGTGAACCTCTGCCCCAATTTTTTTGCAGTTTCCAGCAGATTTTGCTTAAAGGTTTGCACTGCATTTAGCGCCATCTGTTTTGTACCCAGTCTAATCAACTTCCCTGTTCTGGCTTAACAATACAATGCCCACAACACTACACAGCCACCATTATGTTTTACTATGGGTGGTTCTACTTTTATCCTTAGGATTCTCTGAGAAAGAATAAAATTATTTACAGCGAGAGCTTGGTCTGCATTAAGACTCTGTGTTTTAAGTCTGACTCTCATGATTACCCAATAAAACACATTGTAGTTCTTATTTAAGTTATGAACCATCTGTCAGTCAAATTTATCTAGAGGCCAGTGCTTAAAGACACCACTAATCCTGTAACCCACAAAATGCAAATTCCACCTCCATATGAAGACATAATGCTTATTGTGTGTTTCCCACGTTAGCTGGGATTTTTCTTTCTCCCCACTCACTAAGTTTTGTGACTTGCTTTGGGGGCTTCAAGTCAAACCGCTGCTCTTTTTGTCCCCATTGTGCTTTTTTTTTAAAAATTTATTTAATTTTCTCTTTTGTCTCATCAGCCCCATGCATGAGGTAGCTGTAAATTAATCATACTGAGCTTCTGGCTAAATTTAATTTACTTTTCTTTGCCTTTTTGTGTGGATTTTCTCCAATAAAAATTGTACTACACTCTTGTTCTTACTGTCAGATAATTTTAAATTATGTTAGGAATGTAAACACAACTGACTGAGTTTTTTGAAAAGTTATATTGATCTGAAACCCCCCCACCCCCCAAAAGAAACACAGCCAAAAGGTCAACAAACTGAATTGCTTAGACATGAAACTGTCCTTCTTAGCCTCCTAGAAATTAATTGAAAATACTCCCACTTCAGAGTAGCTGCTTATATGATCCCATCCAATTAAAACCTTAAGCTCGTTGAAGTTTCTAATTAGCGACACCTCACTGCCTATTTTTGGTTTTCTTCTTCAACTAGCAGCACAAGGTGTCGAAGCTGAGAGTTTGTTAACAAACAGAGAAATGTGAGAGGCAGATACGCTATAGCTGCCTTGTCATTATGAAACATGCACCCAAGTGGGGTAGGAAAGGTGAGAGCATTCTTTTTTCTTTTATTAAGTTAAGATCCAGAGAATAGGCGAACAACAAAGGGAATCACATATCACATGAATGATTGACCTGTTTTCTGGAAGATAAAGGCAAAGTTGTAAGGAAGAGTCCTTCTGGACTCAAATCAAAGTGCAGCTCAAATGATTCCCGCAGTGTTTTTGCTTGAATCCCAGCGTGGAGATTTTGGGCAGTCTTTCATTCCTCGTGTGGTGTTTGTTTATGGATGTCCTCTCACCATCTGTCCTTCCCCTCCCTTTGTTTCACTGCTGCTTTAGGTGCAGACTCCAACAGCGAATACAGTTCTGGGAGCGGCATTCTGCTGTCAGACAGCAGAGAGACGTCATCGGTGGCGTCCTCCGTCCGCTCTGTGGCCGTCCGAGATCAAGGGAGTGGAGACAACAAAGGGAGAAGCTCCGGGGGACCCCGGTTTAAAGAACCGAAGTGGGAGTGGAGCGGAGGAGTTCAGAAAGGGAGAGGACGACATGGAGAGCCCAAAGAGGAAAGCCTGGAGGTCTCCACGGAGAGGTTGTGGGGCGTCGTTGGAGAGGAGGAGTAAAGATTCAGTGAACTCTATAAGCCAAGGAAGAAAAGAAATGGCTGCTACGCTTTAGCTTGTTTTAAAATAACAACCAAAAACACCAACAGTGTTTAAAGAGTTTTAATGAAGAAGATCTATATTTACACAAGTTTTCACTGGGTGTAATGCATTTTTATTACTGATGAGTGTTTCAGTTGTGCCTCAGATTAAAAGACAACTGGTGCTAGACTCTGCAGAGGCATTTTCAGGAAAGTACTGCATAAAGTTTCAACAAAGCAACAGGGATCCAAAGCTTTTGGGACTTTGTTTGTTTCCTTCAGTATCATTTTGAACAGGCTGTTCTTGTTTCAAAAGCATCGTTTTTGGTTGTGCTCATTTCATAATTGTTGTTAAAAAGAAAATGTAAATATCTGAATATTTTTTCTCCCTTTTTAACGTGCAAAATTATTTGATATGTTTTGAGAATATTACAATTTTTACTTGAAAAAAGCAGATACCTAAGGTTTATGAAAGATTTTTGCTCTGCATTAAAATGAGCATTTTACTTGAACATCCACTTTCAGTGTTTTGTCTTGACCACATTTCCTCCTTTTAGAACGCCGTGATCGCTGGACAATCCCACAGAATCTGTACTTTGAATTTGTTCGGATGGATTAAGACAATTCCATTCTGCCATTTTATGATCTCACACATGTGGTAAAATGACAACATTTTACTTCTGATGTTGTCAATGAACCTTTTCGATTTTGACAAAGCTGTAACAAAGGTTTTTTTTTTTTTTTACTTTCCCTCAAACTATTTTGTCATCCACACATTTGTTTAATGTTTGTTGAAAAGTTTTTACTTCAGATAGTGTGTGATTATTATTTCTGTTCAGTCAATAAATCAAGTTTATTTGTGCATCACATTTGAGCAACAAGGCAGTTCAACGTGCTGAACATCATAAAAACACAAAAAAGTCATAAAAACAACATGCGGTCGACAGTTGAGAAACCAGTGACAAACATAACAATTTGACGAATGCCATCATCAAAATCATCAATATATTGGTTAATGTTCCACTTAAACAGGCACTCAGTGTTTCAGCTGTTTTGCAGGTTTCTGGAAGTTTGTTCCAAATTTGTAGTGCATAGAAGCTGAATGGTGCTTCTCCTCGTTTGGTTCTGATTCTGGGGATGCAGAGTGGACCAGAGCCAGAAGGCCCGAGATGTATGGAAGGTTGATACGTCAGCACCAGATCTTTAACATATTGTGGTGCTAATACTGATTTATAAACTAACATTATTTTAAAATGTATCCTCTGAGCTTCAGGGAACCAGTTTAAGGATTGTAGAATTGGGGAAATGTGCTTTTTCTTCCTGATGGTTGCTTGTTTTCACTTAGGTGTCTTCTATTATGCCTGCAAACAACTTCCCTTATTTATTAGTCCATCCAGAGAGGAATATGCTAATATGTTATTTAGCAGTCTTTTATGATGCGTGTTAGCTTAATGGTTTATATATTTTTATTATTAATGCTTTTGTAATAGATTAAGAAAATAAGTTAATTTTAAGCTGTTGTGAATGAACTATAATAATTGATCTTTTAAGCTTAATGACTTTTTGTTTATCTTCTGGTGTCACTGAATATTTGTACACATTTTTTCCCGATGTTGATTTTCTTCTGCTCACTGTTGAAGATGTATTTGTGTCGCACCTGTTTCATTTCATCTGAATCAATATTCAGCAACATTCTTCCTGCAAAACCTCCTCCACCTGTGAAACTGAGAACGTGATCACAGTCAGTGTGCATCCGAGACAAGTGGGCGAATCATTAATATTCAAATCACTGTAAGTGGAAGCAAAGTTCTGAAGCAAATCCTTAAAGTCAGGCTGGTAGCAACTTTTTGTCACCCTGCAATATTTTATTTTTAATCCGATAAAGCCGTCATACTGGGATATGATATTTTTGTTTTTTTTCCCTCATCGTTAGCATGGATTTTATGTGTTAATACCAACAGAATGTTGCAAATAATAGTAACAAGGAAACAAATTGATATTTAGTTTACAAATAGGCATCCAAAAAGCATGCTTTATTCTTATATCCCTAAATAAAATCCATTCTAATTAGTTTGACTTCATCTGTGTTAAATCTGATCTCAATGTAAATCCAGTTGTTCTGTGAAGACCTCATAAGTATACATTGAGACCAGCTTCTTAAAATTGTAAGATCAAATACAATTCAAGACTTTTCTAAAAAGATTGATGACTTTCAATGTCATCAACGTGCGGTGGAGGTCAGCCACTTTCTCTTGTGATGACTAAGGATTTTGTTTTTCTTTGGGTTTTACAAACAGAAACCCCAAAACTCTACAAGTCCGTTTAGCCTTTAAGGTAAAAGGCTTTGATTGTTAATTACCAAAGTGATGAGCTTTTACCCACATTATCCACAAATAAGAAGATCTATAGGATGTGTTTACATTTTTAATCTAAATGGTGATTACTCCAAAGATGGAGTCAAGATCCCACAGGAGAAACTTAAATGTGATAGATGAGTTTGGGAGTAAACGCTGAGATGCTTCATCTGTGTAATTATAAAATCCTCTAGAAAAGTGAGTACACTTTACAGGTTCTAACTGTACATTTTGTACACAAGATCTAGAAATTCTGTATTGCAAAATTGCACATTCTCTCTTTCAGTGTCAATGATAATTTGATGATTCGTGCCTCTTTTTTTTGGCCTAATTTGGTTTGACACTTAATAATAGGCTGGAGAGAATAGCTTTTGTGTAAAGTGACTCCTGAAACCAAGATTACAAGATGAAGGAAATAAGGTTGATATCCTGTGCTTAAACAGGAGAAGGAAGTAAGTAAGCTTTCTTTTGACGTTGGCATCTTTTCTTAGAAAGTAATAAAAAAAAAAACAATAGTTTGCAATCAAACCTCTGTTTGATTGTAAACCAGCAGAAAGTTCATCATTCAGTTGGTGGTTTACCTTTTTCCAATGTTTTTTTTATTTTTTATCTAATAATCTTTACAATTTAACTAATTTCCCTGGGCAAGTAAACAATCAAACACTGGCTGTGCCTTTTAGGCCATTTCTAATTTAAACAATGTCTACTCTAGAATCAGTTGTCACACCAAAAATGATCAGTTAATGATAATAGTTTTTCTTTTTTTTTTTAATCAAAAACACCGTCGGAACCTCCTGAATAACACGGTTAGTTCAAATTATGACATTGGTACAAATGAGTCACCTTCATTAGGGTCCAAACAGTAAAAACTTCCAGGTATGTAAAGTTTCCATGACCAAATCGAGACAGAGAGAGGATTCATTGTAGATTGTTGCTGTCAACGCAGGAAGAGCAGCAGGAACACTGATGCGCGCTGACCGCTGACTTGAAGCGCTTTCCTCCTCTGCCCAGTAATTTTGCCTGACATTAATTGGCATGTTCCTATCTAAACTCTGCGTGCCACCCACATGCCCTCAACCATTGCAATGTAAACCACAATTCCTATTCTTTCTTTCTTTTCTTTTTTTTTTTCTCTCCAGGAGAAAATTGGCCCTTTTGTGTTGGCTGTTGGCAATTATGCAACAAGCAGCAGCACCACCCGCTCGTCACTTTTAATTGCCGCTGTACTCAGGAAAAAGGTTCTTCCTTTCTCCAGTGAAACACTGGGATGTGCTTTTTCAGTCTGTGTTTGGGGGAGAAAAGGGATGCGTGAAACCGCAACGATACAAAAATTTTGCTGAATGTTTTCAACCAAATCCTAACAGGTGATTGCCATGGTAATTTAGACGCAGAATGGTGCAACCGATTCTCTCTTTCTCCACTCTACGCTAATTATGCAGCAGGAATGTAATATTGATGTAGGTTATATTGTGGTTCTGGCAAAAAAATGTTTTGGCCCAGTCAGAATGGTGATTTCGGGGCACTTCCGGTCAAACCCATCACTCACCACTGACGTCTGGTTCGAGTCGATCATCTCTAGCAGTTTGCGAAAAGCACAAGTTGTTTTGTGGCGAACCAAAAAAATGAATCTGAGCGAATTTTGCAGTAGAACTTAAGAAAAGAAAACAAACAAACAAAAACAAGCGGAATACAAAAGCTTTAAGAAAATTGTGGAGATGATAGCAAATCTGTGTCTGGTTTTTATCCCTGAATGAGAATAAATGTGTATCTGAATTTATTCATAATCTAATGTTTGCTTTTTGAAAAACATTTAGTAAAAAAATTAGATTTTATATATATATATATATATATATATATATATATATATATATATATATATATATATATATATATATATATATATATATATATATATATACATTTTTAATCATTTATCAAGGTGATACGTTTCAAAATGTGGTCCTATTTTGTTGGCACTTTCCAAATAAATCCGTAGAAAGGTGGTTTGTGTGTGTCGACAGTCAATTCTAAGGTGTTGCAATGCATTGCATGGGCTTCAATCTGAACCACATTTCAGTTGAAACATTTGGTAGCAATACTGTGGCAGTCAAATTTGCCCCACAGTAATTTAGAAAGATCCAATAAAGTGAGCAGCTTTGAGATGATCGTGTAGAAAAGAGGCACTTTTTGTAAGAGTACCTCGGAGCCGTTGGCTGTAACTTAAATGAACCGAATTAAAGTGAATTAAAAAGATAAAGCAGAACAAGGACAGCTGAGCATTTTGGTCTCCGGTGCCACGGGCCGCATTTTCCCCTCTTCTTTCCGGAGTGAAAAAAACCAAACTGCCCAGTGCCTCTCAAGTTTATGAAGTGCTTCGCCACTCACCTCAAGAGCGATTCAGTTTTAATGACATGGAGGTGAACGAGGACCTGGCCAGCCTTCGCGGAGCAGTGGAGAAAAAAGGAGGGGAAGAAAAAAAAAATAATAAAAACCAGATCCCCTTTTTTAAAATTAGCTGAAGCGAGGAAAGATCTCGTGTAATCTGTTTATGCACCCCCTCAGCCCCACTCACGTTTTTTCACATAACTGGACATATTTCGGAAAGTGATGGTTAAAGTAGGTGAAAAGACACATGAGAAGATAGGAGCTTGATTTGAAGGCGTTTTGTTTTCTTTTTTCTTCTTGTTCTTGTCTTCTCAGCGTCCCCCGCTGCAGAGCAGGCTCATTGTTCTCCAATCTGGAAACAATTGGGGTGGCCAGGAGAGATCGGCGCGTCACTATTTCTGTGGAGGCGCAGCGAAAGGTTGCATCCAATTGATCTTCAGCAGCGTCTCTCAGCAGCTCCTCAACTTCCCAAGTCAAACCTCGTTGCTGTTTTCGTTGAGAGTCCCTCTGCGGTCGGACAGGTGGGATCCCCTCTCCGGCTCTTCCTTCTTTTCTCCTCTGAGTGAGGATCGATCGGTCGGCTGGGGAGGCAGAAGTTCTCGGACCCGTCAGGAGGAGTTCACCAGTGAGAACAGCGCTTCAGCACCAAGGACAGATCCTTCGCAGCTGGCGAACAAACATGCTCAAAGTGAGCAACATCTGGACGCGGCTCTTTCTCACGAACCTCGACGCGCGCTTTGTGTAGATCACCGATGCCCGGCTGGTGCAGAGGAGGCATCCAGAGACATACTTCTTCAAAAAGGGTGAGAAACTATGAGATACCCTGGACTTCCATTGTGGCTCGGCTTCTAGACGAGTTGTTTGTTGTTTTTGTCTTCTTGTTACGGGGTTTTCAAGCCTAATCCGTCACAATTACTTATTAGATATCAGAACTTTACAAATATTTTTACTTTATCCAAATATGTCACAGCAGATGCAGAAAATCAACAGTTATAAACATCAGGTTGGAATAGATCACTCTGTTTGGCTGAGCATGCAAATAAGAGAGGGGAAAAAAAAAAACAGATGTGTCCTTAGCAGTGAAGGCAATCTTTTCTCTCTATTATGATCCTCGTTATAATATTCTTTGCTCATTATTAAAGCATTTAAAAAAAGTAGAAGACAAATTTAAGAATGTGTTTTTTTTTTATTTCTGCGCAGTTAATGTGTTCATAAAATAAGTCAACCTGTTGTCTCTCAGTATGTCTGTGTTAATCTGATTTCTCCCCATTAAGCATCCAGGTGGGATTATTGTTATTTTTTATTCACTCAATGAAATGTGGTTTCTGGGAGTTAAACGGGCTGACAGCCCAGATTTCCCCCCAGTGCGGGGTTGGATCAAATTATGCATCTGATCCATGTTCAAATGCAATCATCTGGCTCCTGGTCAACCACAGTTGCATCCTAATTCCTGCAGCTGACAAGTCCAGGTGGAGGAATAAACTGAGTCCTTGCTGGAGATTATATAATCATGGAAATCATGCAAATGGAGTGATGAAAGATGCAGTTTTTTTTCATTACCCCCTTTTTTAATGAAGGTTTGTTTTACTTGTAAATAAGCATATATTGACTTTTAAGATATGTAAAAGGGATACGCTTTTATTACCCCCCTCATCTATTTTAATCTATTTGGGTTTTTTCCCTGTTATTATAGCTTCAACCATGAGTCTGAAGGATGCATGTGCAGTGAAGTAGGCTCTGAATTAAATGTCATGTCAGTTACGCTGAAGCGTTAAATAAAAGTGGAAACAGACGTGAAGCACTCTCAGATAATTTGACATTTACAGCAGATCAATTAAGATAACAGTGTGATTTATTTCCATTCTTTCAATTAAAGAGCTACACTGACGAAAACAAATTGTGTTCTCACATTCATCGTCTGCCATCATCTACTTTTCCCAAACACCGCCTTTCATGCTATTAATATGCTGCACATCCCAGTCACCTATCATCTCTGACTCCCTTCTCTGAGTCAAATCTTGCACATTAGCTGTTTCTGCTCAAAGAGAGAGGACAATGGCTTCATGAAGAAACTCCTCACTGTGCCAGGGCTGCAGCAGAGATGCATTAGCTGATGGTTCAAAGCTGAGAAAAAGCTTTGCAGCCTTTTTTCTATTTTTCTTTTTGAACCCTCCTTTCAGAGGGAATATTGAGCGCAGACAGCTGGAGAGCGCAGTGACTCCATTGGCTGCTGGGTGTGAGTGTGTGACAGCCGTTTCAAGATAGTTTTTAATGATGTTATCGAGACACTGCTCTGATGTCGGAGGCAGAGATTTGGTTTATTGCTGGCGT